CATACTTCAATTTAAATCATATTAAATATACAAATTAAACTCCAAGTAATTTTTATCCTTTCTGAAACAACTATGGTGCATCAGTTGCATTTGTATTGATTGATAATGAGAGCAAACGAACAAGATTGCCTATATTTTAATTCATTTTACCAAGATAATCGTAGAAGAATAAGATATAATACTTATTATGTATCTGTATATTCTTTATTTGTATATTTAATGTGATTTAAATTGTATGTTTAATAAGATCACTGTAAATAATTTTGTTATTCTTGTTAAATGTCATTTATATTGAGTCTCAAACATTAATTTTGACATTCATGAATTGTCCAAAGTTTTTAGTAATGTGTTTATATAGTCAAATTTTTTTTGTTGTTACTTGCATGTATTTTTTCACATCATGCATCTATATTTAAGAATAATGAACCAAAAAAGTTACACTATTATAGAGATATTTTAAATACTTTCTTTCAGGACCAATGTATTTCTTTGCATCTTAAAATCCCACACAAGAATACCCAAAATATAAAAAAAAATGTAGGTTCTGAAACAAAAATCCAATCTATTGGTAAGAAAGTTTATTATTATTTAAATAAAATAGCCATCAAAATCCAATCCAATCTATTAGTAAGAAAGATTATTATTGTTTAAATGAAATAGCCATCAAAATCCAATTAGGTAATGGATATAAATAAAAAATCTAAAGCTTTAGAATAGTCCAACCTTAACATCAATACAAGTGTTTTTTTTTGGCTTTTTTGGCCCACATTATAGTTTTTTTGGGTTATAAATATGTTATCTAAAATGTAGTATAGTGATAGAATGGCTATTCGGGCATGATTTATGATCTTTATAATATTTTTTTGTAAGTTTTTTCTAAAGTATTTGGTATATCTTTTGTAAAGCAATAGGTCTATTTCTTTGAATTGATATTCTTCCTTATTGCAAGAATATCATATAATTTCAATAATATAATTTTATGAAGAGTCTGAAATTTAATAATTTTATTATTATAGAAGGTGAATATTTAAAATTAAATTTCAAAAATATTTTTTTTATAATACTACTCTTAATTTATATAAGTTTTAAAGTTATACCTTTTTCATGCCTTTATTAGTGTCATTTAATTAACAGCAAGTTATAAATTTTACAAAGTCAGAATATATTTTCTTATTGACTTTAGAAAAGATAGTACCTAAACTTATATTTAAAGATAAAATATATATTTGAATGTGATTTTAAATTAAATCAAGTATAGTATAGTATTCCATTTAATTATTTTAGAATTTATTTTCTATAACCTTGGATACTACTATTGCATTAAAGCTTATTAATATAAAACTTGAAATGTTTTTTTATATTTTCATGACTTGTACTTCTCTAATCTTTTAATGTTATTTCTAAAATAACTTGAGATCTATAGATTATTTACTCTTTGTAAAATTTTCTATATTTTAAAGAAAAAACCATATATATGAGTATTTGATCAAATTTTATAAACTAGAGTATAAAAATTGGTTCTATCAAATTTTTCTTGTATGATTTAAAAAAATTTAATATATATTTATTTTTACAAATCTAAAATTTGATTTAAGTTGTAACATGGTGTGCTTATCTTCTTTAAATTATTATTTAGAAGGAATTAAATGTGATTGACTATTAACTTTTTTGATTTTTGTTTTTATATTTTACATTTATGACTTCTTATTTGTACTAGCCAAAGAAATTTATTCAAGTCAATAGGACTAAAAGAATTAACAACCACTAATTTAAGTATAGAATTGAATGAAACTTATGGTGGCAAGGTCATATTTTCTTATAAGAAGAGATTTAAAACAATACATATTGGTAATATTTGACTCCTTTGTTCTCTTCTGTATTTGTTTGATTTTTTCTATACATTGTAACTCTATCCTCCTTCTAGGATCTACCTTTATGATTATTTAGAAGTTTTGTTTCTTGTCTTTTATTTTTATTTTTTAATACTTTATTAATTTATTTTTTAAAAAAAATCAAATAATAATTTTACATATTTTAATTTCAAAATTCAACAATATATTCTTATTAATTATAATTTAAATTACAGTATCCGATTTCTTGACAAAAAGATAGTTTGTTTTTTCTTCTTATAAATATCAATATGTGTGCATATTTTTTTTTGTGGATTTCTACTTAGTTTCATATAACTTTTTATAACTCTTAATTTAGTGATTGGTGCCTAAATGAAACTTATATTTAATTAAAATATTATTATAATCTATATAAATTAATTTTTTTAATTCATAATAAAATTGGTAGTTTATACATCAATCTCCTATCTATCATTTAAATTTAAGATTAAATATAATTTAAGTTCTAATGAGTTTTTTTTGTAATAACTTACTTATAAAATTTTACATAAATAGTTTCTAAATATATAAAATTTTAAAATAATAATTTAATTTAATCTTAAATATTACCTATATTAGAATTTTAATTGATTCTATTTTATTTATAGTTTTAAAATTCTATATCACATTGAGATATAAAGTAAAATTCTATACTTAATATATATATATATATATATATATATATTTTAGTAGAGATTTAATTTTTAAAAATAAAATATATATTTTATTTTTATTATGATTTTTTAAAATTTTATATAAATTTTAAATTTCAAATTTTAAAATTAATAACATTTAAGGTTGACTTAGCATTCCTTGATATAAATATATATATATATATATATATATATATCAAGGAATGCTAAGTCAACCTTAAATGTTATTAATTCAATCCATCCATCATGACCAACATTGTATCTTCTATTCTTTGTTCTAATTTCGATACTCTTTATTCTTGTTTCCAACTTGCATCCTCCATCTCAACCTCCCCATCTTCTTTCTCAAAGTGAGTTGAGTTCTTCTACCTCATCTTCATATAATTGTCAATTTTAGCATTCAAATTTTGATAGATTTAAATGTTCTCCATGAACTATTAATGAATATAAGGTCATAGAGGTGGAAGCATCCATATGAGGATAGGAATGAATTTTAAAAATATAAAAGACATGCCATTAAGGGTGTTGAAATTTATCAATAGCTATAACCATTGAACTAGTAGAAAGATATGCATGCCAAGTAAGTTGTAGAGTCTTTGTGGCCTCTACCACATAGTCCATAGCCACATGATTCACATGAATCTTTTTAAAGGAAAGTACTACATATGTAGTCACCTCAAATTCTATTAAGTATGTATTGCTAAAACATTTGTAAAATTGAGTAGAGCCTAAAAAAGTAAATATCTAATTTGAATTAAAGGAGTCAATGACAATAGTAGATCAAATTTTAAAATTTGTTGTGGTGAAGGTTGCTCAATCTCAAGTATTGAGAGCACTCCTATTGAAAATAATCATAGAATTTAGATTGAAAATACAAGAAATTCACTTCTAGTTTACTTAGAAGCTAATGGAGTTACTAGTGCAAAACACACTATGATGAGGTTATCTTTGTCATTTGAATAGATTGAAAGTGATTGGAAGCAAGAAATTAATTGTTTTAGAACAATACCATAACCCCAATGTAAATCCCTACCAACCATACCACTACATGAGCACTAAGAATGGATGTTGGAAAATAAGCATGAAGTACAAAGAATTGGAATAAGGCATAGAAGTCAAGAGATGAGGGTTGAAAATTAGTATAGAAGATGGGGGCTAGAAACTGGCATAAGAGATGAAAGATGTATGTTGGGAATGAAAACATGGGATATTGCAACAAGAGATACTATGTTGGTTATGATGGGTGGATTAAAAAGTATATCATTTATATTTTGTAATCAAATAATGATATACTTTTCTGTCATTCTGATGATGGGTGGGTTGAATTAACAATTGATGGGATCAATTTAGTATTTCCTTGTATATATTCATTTACTTGATTTTTACTTTGGATGACTTTATACAGTTGTTCTATCTATTATAAAACATGCAATAACTATGTTGTTACACAAAAAAAAGTCTATTTTGACATAAATAGTATCTTCATCTACCTCAGCTTCACAAACTTTGCTTTGGACTAAACTACCAACAAAATTGTGTGCACAACCAGTGAGAAGTTGCTCACCATTTGACTTGTTGTGTCTCCCATATGTCCCAAACCTTGCTGAAATAGCATGTTTTTCTTGTATTATCATTAAAATATGCTTCTACCCATCTTAATGCTCTCCTAGAGTCATTTTCTCCTACCTTGAATGCACATTCATTAAATAGCTCAACATAGGTCCCCATTATATTATTTACTCACTCAACAGAGGTTCCTATGATATAATTATTCAACTAATGCAAAAACCCTGTCTGAGAATAAATAAATAAACAAAAACCTGGGTTACTCTGATTACTCTCTGTGTTTCTTTGTTTCGCTCTGCACACATTCACGTGTAATCCAACGTGCAGGCGCGAGCGCAGCAGCGCAGGAGCAAGCTTGTTACTGACCTCCCCCTCGGACTCAGAAAACAGGGAGCTCACAAATCTGGTGACTTCCTCTCCCCTTCTCACATACCTCTTCTGAATCCCATTATAATATCATCATAGTACAATGGGTGTACGAATATTGGCGGATTAAATTGTGCGACAGTATTAAACACATGAACCATGTTAAGCATATAAAGAAGCAGACGGTGTCCATAGCAGGCAATGGAAGGCTATACAGATGGCGGGCGCAGCATCGACTGTTGCGATGCTTCGAGCTCGTCGCAGCGTTAATCGGTGAAGTTGGTGACCATTATGAGTCGAAGAATCATCCCAAACTGGAAGAACTAGCTACGAAGAACTAGCCTGGTAGGGGCCATTCAAGGCGTGGAACATTTGAGTCAGAAAGGAGCGGTAAATTTGATTCTTTTGTTTGTTTGTTTTTATTATAGGTCTGCGGTGAAGATATCTACCTGCCGGAAGTGGTCAGTTTAGATCTGTAGAGTCTCGGCTACAGTCCACTCCCCCCCCCCCCCCCCTCCTCTCCTCTCCCTCCTGCTCCGCATGGGCGGAAAGTCCTTTACCGCTGACATACGACCCGATTCGTGCACGTCACTTGCGCAGTAACGGTATCAGGTTTAATGGGCTGGACAACTTCTGTTCCAGTCGTGACGGTACCTCTGCGGAGTCTGGCTTGTGCTGTTGCAACCACTGAGTTCTTCTCAAATCTGCCGTGAACACCATCATGGTTGTCCGGGGTTTTGCCGCTGCTGGAGGCCGCTTCGTTGCACCAGACTTTCGACGTGACTGTGCTGTGGTAGAGATGTAGAATTATTTTAACGTGTATGTTGGCGGTGATGGGGTTGGTGCGGGCGTTATGCAGCGACAGACTGCTAGTTTGCCAGTGGTACCAAGTTGGAGGAAGTTGTAGTTTCAGTTCCAATTCAGAGTTAAAAGATGCTGCCGGTTCTCAGGTTCTCTTCCAGTTCCTTGGTTGTTGAAGGAATTTTCCGGAGTTGAGAGGACAGTGGTAAAGATGTGTTCACGGGAACGAGAAAAAGTTAACAAAGCAGAGAACCCAAGGGTGAAGAAACCTCTGGAAGGACGTTACAGAGGTGTCCGGAAGAGGCCTTGGGGACGATACGCTGCTGAGATCAGAGATTCGAACACAAGAGAGAGACGATGGTTAGGGACGTTCGATACTGCAGAGCAGGCTGCGTTGGCGTACGACTCTGGTACGATAGGAAGGTCTAGTTTTCTTGGCATCAACGGAACAGGTTTCACATGATTCAGCTTCCTGTATTGATGGTGCTGGCAGAAGAGGTCTATGTATATGCAAGTACTGATAAAATTTTGACTGTACTTTGCAGCGGCAAGGTCGATGCGAGGACCAAAGGCCCGGACAAATTTCGTCTACTCTGCTCATCATACATGCGTTTTCTCCGCAGCGTTGGCTGTTTCAGGAACCTCGAAGGAGAATCTGCTCCGCTCAGTCGATTCAAGGCCCCGCAAATTCGACTGGTTTAGTGCCCTCTCACGCAGTGAGTCCCAGAGGGTTTTCGTAGACTATAATGATATTGGCGCAGCTCATCAGCCCTCGGTGAAATCAAGTCTCGACTACACCGAGGTGCTAAAAAATATTGAGAGGTTGGCAAGTGCTATTAGTGATCCGCCGAGATCGCAGCGTGTGAACGGACTTCCTCAGACCAGTTCCGCTAGTAGAAACCACCTCCAAGGTATTGACAGTAAAGACACTTCCATGAAGCGCAGTTCCTGGCTGCCTTTAGATAGTGCCTCTCAAGTCTCAAACCCCACCCCTACCGAAGACGAAGTTGACAAAGTTGCAAATTCAACGACGCCGAAGTCGAACCTGAGTTGTAGCACAGTTTTCCAACCTTCTTGTGAGGTAAGTTACCGAGTAATCGAAGTACTCGTTTTTTCAGCCTGGTCATCAAGATATCGCATGTTCGATACATTTTTCTTCATGTGCTGCCTTCGCCACACGACTGTCAGCCTGCATATGACATGCTTTCTTCAACTGAAGTCGCTGTGGGGCGGCTCCTTCGCATTTTTTAGTATTTCAGAGACAGTGGGATGTTCTGTGTATTGAGATATGGGATTATACTTACTAGCTCTCTTCGTGTTTGTTGCAGGTGCCTTGGAAAGGATTCAATGTAGGCTCTCAACAGGGAAATGTTTCAGAGTCAGGTGGATCAACTACGTTGGATAATGTCGTCGACAGTATGATTACCTGCCATGAAGTCACCCGAACTTTACCCCAGAATCATCCATACAACAGCTTCGGAGTTGGAACAGGATCCATTGATCAAGTTGTCTCTCAGTTCGTAGAATCATCTCCGTCTGTGGTTACAGCAGGCACTAGTTCAACACTTGCTTTTAACTCTGACCAATGCTCGTTTTCAACGCAAATATCCTACTCCGACGACTCCTCCATGTCCATGGCATCACCCCCTGCCGACACAGCATCATTTCTAGATTCGGGGGTCCTCTCTCGTTCTTCAGAGGTCGAGTGCCTCCTTGAAGCACGCACTGACGAGGTATGTAGCTGTTCAAGTTACGGACTAATCAACCCCAGTCAGAATCCCGACAACCTTCAGTGCATGCTTCCCTTGAGCATGAGGACGTCATCGCTGGTTCCACATGATCTTTATGCAGAATCCTCAGCAAGCTGCTCTTTGCAGCCTCCAGCCGCCACGACTGGAGTAGTTCATTCCTCCGACAACTTCCCTCACATCTCGGAGCAGGATCAATCCAAGACGTGGAGCACCTTGTGCGAACTGCCAGCATCATGGGACTCGTCCGGCTTTCTAGCGTCGGAGTCTATTTATGAGAAACCTCATCTCGCTACGGCTTGGACATCGGAGTGCATCGATCTTGTGCAACCAAGCACTCTGTGGGGGTACGATGATTGCTACACATATGAATACTTGCCAAGTTTTCCGATCTTCGAGGTTTGGAAAAGTTCAGATACCACAATAGAGGTCTGACCGGACCATTCAACTGGCTCAATGCCAGTAACATCCTTGTACCACGATATACCAACTTCGCTTGGACCACTGCAGATTAGCTGTGATTGAGCGCAGGATTATAGCATGTGTGTAGTATTGTTAGTAGTCTTGCTGTTAGATCAGTATTCAAAACATGTGAAAAAGAAACCTACGTACTTATTGTTAGTCGTCGTGTCTGTAAGAAGTTCTTATAATGTAAATAGTAATCTAAAACGTATACTTACGACTTCTGTGCGCAATCGTCGTCAGTTGAGGATCCCTGATACTGTGTGAGGGCTGCATTTTTGTGTTAAACTAGGAATCATTATGATGATTCCGAATCCATCGTTCTGAACAAATAAAAACTTATGAATTGTCTTGTAACTGATGATCTAGCTCTTATCGGTGACCGTGTGATTGAACTCAAACTGACCACTTTCAGATGAAACTGTGAATTGATTGCCTTCCTAGTTGTCACATAGTCCAACACTTAACAATATTGGAGGTACGTAGGCAGTGGTGTGCCTATCAACAGCTCACAATCATGAGCTGATAAATGACTGCACAGTGCGTGCATGATGGACATGCCGCACACCGGAATGCGTGACTGAATGTTCTATCCATGCAACAGCCAGCTGCAAACCGTGTATAATTTTCGTGCGAGGAGACTTATCAATCCACTGTTGATCTATAATTTTCTGTGTCTGCTCTGGTAAACCTACTGAGCAGAAACCACCACCAGATGGTCACGTTGTTTAAGGCTCATTAATGGAAGTTTCGACTCACTTGCAAAAGTGACAATTTAGGGGTGCATGCGTTAAACAGTGATCTCGGAAATTTGTCACGCAATCTGATACACTAATAGGCCCGTCGTCGCACCGGACTAGATGTGGTAAAGTTGTTCACATTGCTCAGCAGTTTCTCTTGATACCTGCCTGATATATGGATAGTGCTGGGTTACATTCCCAACATTCTTTACGTAGTAAATCTGCTTGGCTTCCCATGAATATGAAAAAAACAAACCACCTACTCTACTACGGTCCAACTGTCTTATTAACTCGACAACTTATTTCGTCACTGAAAGAAATTCTGTTGCGGCGGTCCCGAGCGATGGAAGCACTGCCATGTCTGACTCAACTCCCGCTTCTACAGCTACCGTCGGCTTCAGACGACTTTGGTTGTCAAACCTGATTCTTGTCTGCCACTTCATTCAAATTCTGTGTAAGTTTGAAAAGTCGCCACCATGCCACGCGATATTCGAATATTTCAGCACACTTCCACACGATGCGAGAGGAATAATCTACATCACCCCACACTTGCGGGATCATGGTGCCGCTCTGACATTGATTGATCTAGCAAGTTGTGTGCGATAGTATGCATCAAAGGGGGAAAACTTTAAAAGAAAACAATGCAACAACAATATTTTACGTGATCAACCTGATGTTCGCTGCGCCATACTGCACAGGTTCATGGTCTTATTATGATTAAAGTAATAGCTTTCGAAAGAATAAAAAAAGCAAGCAAATATCCATTATTAGCTATATGCCTTGAATCCTGTGAGTAGCCGCCTGCTCTTCTCGTTTATTGGTAGTGTGCAACAGGAGCGGCCGAAACACACTGAACAGTGGCGTCTCGCGGAAAGATGGAGGCGTTGGCCACGTTCGTCTTTCTTTTCCACAAACAGAAAACGTAGCTCCTCATTTTCTCTAATAGGAAAGCGTATGAATACTACCCTTCCCAGTTTCCCGTGTGAGAATCAAGGCCAAAAAATCTATCTATCTATCTATATATATATAAATACATATTTAAGACATGTGAGGTTGACTAGCAGCTTAAATTCAATGGGTAACATTCGAATAGAAGCAAAAAACCATGATATAGAACCTCACCACATTTACCTTGCTAAATTTCTTTTTGGCATGTCGAAAAATTAAACCACTTTGAGGCGCTTCATGCATCTAAGAATAGTCCCAGCATATCAAAAAGGCGTGATTTTCATCTGGATGTTTCTGAAATTTTGACCTAACATCATCCCATATAAATCTACTGTGCTTCTACATGCTTGTACAAATGAGTTGACTTGTATGTATATCATTTTGTGCTATCTCATTAAAAATTAGGATTTTTCTGTGAGTCCAAATTGCCTGTACAAATATTTCTCAAAAGAATGACCAAATGATCCTAAACTCGTTAAATTTGGATTGCAGCTTGGTTGCAAAGATTTCAAGTTAGAGAGCATATATTATTTGACATTAATTACATTTATTGATTCTTACAGCTAGTAAAAAATTGTTCACTTACTCAGAACAGATTAGTTATAATTGGTTTTGGTAAAAGAAACCAAAAAGAACCTATTATTTCTATTGATAGAACTTGAATTTAGATTACTACCCTCCATAGGGCATCAATCTCAAAAGTTTACAACTCAATTCATAACTTGATTTTGAAAGATTGGATATTTGTCACAAAGTATGCATAGCTAACACCTTAGTAGGAAGCCTATTATGAATTATTAAACCAACCTATTTTGGAAGGTTATACGAAGAAAAAAATCGGCTTAATTAATTGATAGAGTTTTAAAAATATAACCATTAAATGTACCTTTAATACATTATAGGTAGTTCATTTAAATTTTTACATTCTATTGAAAATTTAAATTAGTCTAAATAAAAAAGAATTTGTAAAAAGAATATATATGGACTACCACATCATTAAATTAAAAGATATTTTTATATTAATAATCTTATTAATTTATGTAGATATGCCAAGAAATTATATATATATATAATTATAATTATAGGTAAATTCAAGTAATTCTAATTCAAGTGACATTATCCTAGATCTTTGTTGGTCTATTATCTAAAATAAAAATTAATTATTAATCATAGTAGTATCAATTAAGAATTCTTTACTTTTTCTATAATGATATCTAGATATCTAGAAAAGATCCTAAAATTTTAAATCCAAAGATTTCTTGTATTTCAATTATATTATTATGTATTAATATTTCATATTTTTAAGACATTTAAAAAATTATTCATATAAATATATTTAAACCAAAAAATAAAAATAAAAAATATTATTCTAAATAAAATTTAAAAAAAAAATATATATATAATATAATATTAACATTAATATCAAAATTTTATTTTTTTATTATAAAAATTATATTTTTTACTACACATAAAAATATAATTATAATTGATAATAGAAAAATATTTTAAAAATTATATATACACAAGAATAATAGTATATTTGTAAAACATTCATGTTTTGAGAAATTACTTAAGTTTATATTACACATTGCAAAGTGAATTTTGAATACTAATAAATTTGTTTTAAAATTTAAAGATAAAATATGAACTCATATACCTGATCACATAAATTAAATTATTCAAAGTATTAATATGTATATATATATATATATATATATATATATATATTATTAGTATAATTAACATAAAATTTATATATGTATAGATTCTAAAATATTGTTACTTAGACGTAGATTTGATTTTGGGATTAATAGTTGCTTCTTTTTTTAAAGAGAAATAAAGTGGTTGTTGGTAAATTTTCGTTGATGTAGCTTGTTTGGAAGCTAGCTTGATTTGGAAGTACTCATGTGTATAAATACTTAAGTGCTCATGTGTATATGAAGCAAGAAGGCAATTTTTTTTTGTTAAAATGCAAATATACCATAATAAATAGTTATATATCCTACCACTTGATTAGCTTGGTAGATTTAGCTAAAGCATCTAAGATTAGCACCATATGTTATTATAATAGTAATGCTAAAAGCTTATCAAATTAGTATAAAGCTTATGGCATATAATGGTATTGAAACATTTTATAAAGAGATGTAAAGAGTATGAGTATTAAAATTTGCTATATAAAAAAAATAAAAATAAAAATACTTTGATATCTTTTTAGTTATTTAAATTTATTTTAGAGCCAAGATGATTGATTGACAAGTATTTTTTTATTTTAGTAGTTAAATCTTTTAGAATTAAGTTCATCCAAGAAAAAAGAATTATCCATCTGTAATGTAATCTTTTACAAGAAAAATGAATGAAGAAAACCAAAGAAAAAAAACCTAAGCTATATTGTTCTCAATTTTTGAAAAATATATTAGTATTTAAAGGGATGCCGTAACATGAATCACAGTGGCATAATGTTTGAAGTTAAGGTGCCTTTGATGGCTAGAATCAAAACATGCAAAAGAATGAAGACTTGAATAGTGATTTGTGAGATAAATTCTTCTGCTTGGGATAGCCAATCTTGAGCATATGTCCTATATCATCTATTAAATTAAGAACAAAAGTTTCGCTTTGGTTTAATGGATATTTGTTTAGCAGGGATAGGAAGATTAGAAGCAAGTGTAAGAATACTATGGGTTTGAATTTATGAGAGAGTCCAAGATCGTTGAGGAAGTTGTTATAAAAACAAAACACGTTGTGGGTGTGACTACGGATGGTGTGAATGATGCTCTCGCTTCGAAGAAGACCAACTTTGGTATTGCTGTTGTAGATGCTGCAGATGCTGCTCACATTGCCTCTGATGTGCTAATAGAACCTGGGCTCGGTGTCATTATTTGTGCTGTGTTAACCAGTTCAGCCATTATCCAGCGTTTACAGAACTACGAAATATACGCTGTTTCTATCACAATTCGTGTAGGGGTTGGATTTGTGCTTTTGGCCTTCTTCTTAGACTTAGACTTTTCACAATCCACGGTCCTTGTTCTTGCTATTCGTAATGACTGCACTAGTATGATCATCGCTGAAGATTGTGTTAAGCCATCTCCAGTGCCAGACAGCTTAAAGATGAGAATTTTTTTTTCTTCGATGTAGTACGCGACACTTACATGGCGCTGACGTTCACGCCATTTTAAGATGCTGTTTGCACAGCAAAAGGCCATATTTTTTATATTGTTACCTTGGGTCACAAAGTTCAAGAGGAATCCAGTAACTGGCAATCATCTTGCAACCAAAGACCTCATCATGATCTAGTTCACAAAAATGCTGACCACGAGTATCAATATCCAGTGCTTCACAAAGTTTCCACCGAGTTTTGACAGATTGTGCTATTAAGACGACAGGAAACCGAGGGAGCTTTCACTAGGAATGACATTATCACAATTCAAGACCCTAAAAATCTGGATGCTAAGGTGCTATCAAAATTCGACCACGTTAAGAATGAAGTTGACCCTGATTCGGAAGAGTTAGAACGACTTAAGGATCCTGCATACGGCATAAACATGTCTGGTGATACGAAGCACACCTTGCAAGAACTGGGCACAGGGTGCTGAGCCGTTGGGGACTTTGTCGGGGTTGTTGCTGCTTCTGTTGATGCCGAAGTACCTAACTCATCATGGCGTGGCTGATTCG